GGGCCCCGGCTGGGAGCAGCGGGCAGGGGGCTCGTGGGGTGCTGGCTGGTGCAACTGAGGCCCGGGAGGGAGGCTGTGGTTGGAGGGCTCGGCTCTGCTCTTATCCATGGTGCTCTGGGTTGAGGGGCTTTGGTGGTGGGGAGGGGGAAGGCTTTTCTTTTTGCAGTGGAGACTGTTTGGACGGGCCGGGGACGCTGGGCGTTGTGGTTTCGGTTTCATCGTCCACTTACAAGGTGATGGAGGAGTCAAGGCGGCGCCGTCTGGGGCAGTGCTGGTGGATTTGGAATCAGGCATAGGAAGGGGCACAGGTCTGGCCACTGGAGGCGGCGGCGGTAGCAAAAATGACCCCGGGACTTTGCCCTGGCCGCTACCGTTGGGCTGCGAACAACATAAATAGAGTGACGCATGAAGGCACATCACACACAGACACACGCTCCCCTGCGCGGCCGCGCCAGCTCGCTCCTGAGAGCGGGCGCTCCCGGTGGAAGATCCAGGATCGGGTCCTCTCCTCCAGGGCACGGGATGGGTGAGGGTGTAAGGCCTCTATTTGGTCTCTCAGGTGTTTCTCTTTTTTTTTTTTTTTGGTCCTCTTTTGAAGTTGTGGGAGGGAGGGAGGGGTGTTCGACGGGTGGTTTGTTACTTCCTAGGGAAAATGTTTTAGGTACCAAAATGTGCCACCTAGCAAATATGTGCAGCTGCACCTAGAACTTTCACACTCCTGAAGACCATCTCCTACAGCAGGAAAGATGAGCGCGCTCACCCTGCTCCCCCGGTTCCCCAAAGCACATGCCCGCCTCCCTCTGAGGGCTGTCAGGCTGAGCCAGTTCACCCAACCAAGGACGGCAGTCCTGCCAGCACCCACCCCATAACATGTCCTCAGGAAGCCACCAGAAGTTGGGGAGCTCGTCCTCGGCTCCAGCAGCCTGGGTCCTCACTGCCTGTGGGTGGTAGGGCGCTGACCTGTTCTCTCAAGAATGGCCAGGGAAGAAAATCCGTCGCTGCCAACTCTACTGCCCGTGAGGTTCTTCAGGAGGACTTCCCTGTAGGACGCCCTCAGACACCATGGATGCTCGGCCGCCAGGATGCATTCCTTGTCCTTTATGCCCTCATTTGCTTCTAACTGGATTTTCTCCTCCAGGCCCCGTGCATGGCCTTGCGTGGGTTGGCCTTCTGGCTTCAGGACACATAGGTGCCAAAGGACAGACAGAGGTGCCCCTGCCTCTCCCAGGCAGGTTCCCTGGAGAGACCTCCCTGGAGGTTTGGGCACACACCTCCTGCTGCTCTGAACAGGACCCTGATGACCACTGAGGCGTGGGCTCAGGAAGGCCTGGCCTGTGCTTTTCATCCTAAACTGGCAACTCTCCTGTGGGATAGAGTTCCGCCCTTCTGGGCACCCAGACTCGAGACCCAGAGAGGATCCTGTGTACTCCTCCTCCTATCGGTGAGCAAGCCCCGAGGAGCCCATCCCCTTGATGTCTCCAGCCAGTGCCTCCTTCTGTCCTCACTGATTTCAGCTGGACGATGACAATGAGCTGGTATGTGGGGCTCCCCTGTGCTGAAACTGTGGTTATCAGCTCAGGACCCTCAATGTCCAGCCCTGGACCAGGTGCGTTAGTTCTGTTGCATAACTCCCGACCCATCCCAGAAAGCATCCGTTCTCACCCAGGGGTAATTCTGTCCCCCTCAAGGAGACACTGGCAATGTGTGGAGACACTTTCAGTTGTCACAACAAAGGGGTTGGAGGGGCTGGGTAGAGGCCAGGATGCTACTCGACATCCTGCAGTGCACAGGACAGCCCCCACAAAAAAGGACCATCAGTCCAAGCATTAATAGGCCACCCTGGAAAGCCTTGACACAAAGGACGCTCTATTCTCCCTATTTCACAACTGAGGAAACTGAGGCTCTGGGCCATTAAATGGTTTATCCTAAGTCACCCAGCTGCAATTGGCCAGACCTGGAATTCACATCCATGTCTGTGTGACTCCAGGGATGATGCTAGGATTCTTTCCAGCAGGCTCATCAATCCTCTCCCCAAAATCCACATCAGCTGAGGTTTCTCCAGTCTTCTGGAACCTTCCACGGCCCCAGCTACACCCAACATGAAGTCCAATCTCCTCAGTTGGGCATTCAAGGCCCCCACGGGGGACGCCTCTACCGGTCCACCCCCTACCGCCCCTTTGCACTTCCCATTCCAAACTAACTGGGGTTTCCAGAACACAGGCCGAGCAGGCAGGACTGCACGCTGGCTTGCTGTGGAGCTCTCTGTATGAAGAACTATTTCCCACACCCTTCAAGGCCTGCTCAAAGAACCCTGTCCCCTCTGTGGGGACCAGCCAGATCCCCTGAATCACAACCTATCTTTCTCTGCCCTGTTCCTCTAGGACATTCTTGATCTCGCTGAAACCTTCAGAACAGGCCACCCCCTCAATCCCTGCCAGCTCCCCAATGATTCGGCAGAAGCATGCAGTACCCAAGTACCACAAAGCATGTGGGATCGACTTGTCCTTCCTGTTGCACTTTAAAGTCACGGAAGCCCAGGCTGGCCTATGCAGCGCCCCCTTCTGAACTCTGGCTTCTCTGCCCACTGTTTTTTTTTTACCACTATGACCAGCATCTAGGTCTGACATATTGTCCCTCTAAATGGTTCCTTTGACCCGTTCCTGCCCACTCCAAGGATGACAACTCTCAGTGGCCCTGACAAAAGCAAACAGTGGCTGCTGGTCCCCATATGTGTCCTGGGCTGGAGAACTTTTGTGCGGGTATTGTTTTGGAAAGGGACCCTCAGTTCCAGGTAACAGTGCAGGTCAGAGCGCGGAGGTTTGCAGCTCTGCAGAGAAAGGTGATGCGACGCCTCCCCTCATCTCCATGCCTTCCTAGAAGGAGGGAATGGGATGGTCTGATCACAGCCTCACTCCTCCTCTCCAGGTGTCCTGAGCTCACGCTCCCCGGGGGCTGGGACACAGAGGCCTTCCAAGCAACCCCAAGGCGGCCTCTGCCTTCCTCCAGCTTCAGAGCCTGTCTCCCCCAGGAGTATCTAAATTGTTAATCCCACCTGATAATGCTAATCCCTGCCTGATAGGGCCAGACATTGAAACCTGCTGATTTACAATATTCAGTTTCTAGATGTAAATTCCAACCAGGCTGGCATGTCTCAGCTCTGATTGGGGTACAGTTGAGGTTTTAAAAACCTCAAGGTCTTGTGACCGTGTAGTGCCTTAAAATCTCATGAGTTAGGAGCTAGAAGGAGCCGGAAGCTGGTATAGCGCCTCACTTTTTTTTTTTTTTTTGAGATGGCGTCTCACTCTGTCGCCCAGGCTGGAGTGCGATGGCGTAATCTTGGCTCACTGCAATCTCCGCCTCCCAGGTTCAAGCGATTCTCCTGCCTCAGCCTCCCAAGTAGCTGGGACTACAGGCACACACAGTCACATCCGGCTAATTTTTTGTGGTTTAGTAGAGAGGAGTTTTACCGTGTTGCCCAGACTGGTCTCGAACTCCTGAGCTCAGGCAATCATCTGCCTGCCTCACCCTCCCAAAGTGCTAGGATTACAGGTGTGAGCCACTGCGCCCAGCCTAAAATTCTTCTATGCAGACATTTTCCTGCAAAACTGATCTGTGACTTCTGATTCTCAAGGAGGTTAGAAACAGCATCAGCATCACCTATGAAGTTAGGAAAAATGCTAATTCTCAGTCCCCATCCCAGACCTGCTGAATCAGTTGCTCTGGGGGTGAGACACAGCCATCTGTGCATTAGCCAGGGCTCTAGTTGACTCTCGCGCATGCCAAGTCTGAGAAGCACTGCTTAACAGTGGCTGTAGTGCAAGCACAGCTGGGCATTGCCACTCCCTGCCCACTGGATCAGTGGTGGAGCCGGGCCCTCTGGCTCTCTGCAGCTATGCATCAGCCTTTTGTGTAGCACAGTGCTGTCTCTAGCCTCCTCCCAGAAGCCAGGGGTGGGCCCCATCAAGCAGGCTCCTCACTGAGCCCCCTCTCCCTCTCTTCAGTAGGACAGGCCACACAAGGAAACTAAGAGGTTGCTCCCCAGCTGGGCCACACTCCTTGCTTAATCAAGGTGCCTGTTTGCAGTTCCTGTCTGCAGTGTTTTGTTGTCCATGGTCTGCTCGGAGCAAGTGCCTGCCTCAGGAAGAGAAACTTCTAGGCAAAATGAGTCCTCTGTCTTTTTTAAAAACTATGGCTCTATATCAGAGTCCTCAATCTTGAACAGTCAAGTCAAGGGAAATGCTCAGGACCTAGCCCTCAGGACCAGAGGCTCAGAATGGCCAGAGGACTAAATGACCCACTTTCTCAAGGGTTCTATGGTTAGGTTTGGCTGCTTGGCCTAACCTGGTCTCTAGGCCAGCCTCAATTTGACTCCAAATCCTGGCTGCCTTGGTAGTTGAGAAAGCAGGTAAGTTAATGTTCCAGGCCTCTCTGCCACATATCCCAGACCCCAGGCCCCTTGGGGGCTAGGCATAGGCTGATAGCTCCCCTTGAACTCTGCTGGTATCTCTGATGCAAGCACAGCAGCTGTCAGAGGTCAGGTCTGCTCTTCCCTCCATGACCCTAAAAGTGGACAGAGCTTGTCCAGAGAGGTGGGCGAAGCTACCAGTACACTAAGGAGCTGCAGAGTCAGCCAAGAGAAATCCTTGAAGGGCAAAGGGGGAAGGAAGATGAGGAGGAAAGCAGCAGGAGGGGAACAGGAGGGAGGGAAGAGGACTGGCTTCCCTTACGGACAGAGCAAGAAGGCGGAGCCACAGCCCCGCCGCATATCAACACACCAGCACTTAGCAAATGCTCACTCTGCCAGAGCACACCAAGGCAGCATGGGGCTGGTGGCAGCAGGCAGCCACTGGTGTGGACTTCTGGGATGCCTTTCCCCACCACAGCCCTTTGAGCATCCTCCCTGCCTGACCTCTCACAGCAGGCTTCCAGGCTGGGAGGGCTGGCTACAGAGGAGCTGGAGCTTCTCCTATTACAGCATGCTGCTGAGGCTCTGGACTTTTCCCAGAGGTCTAGAAACCTCCACATTCCAACCAGGGACCACTGTCCCACTGAAGGGTCATCTCTGGCCCACCACTCCTGGGATCATTCTTTCGCTGAGCAACCCTGAGTTTCTGCTCCTCAGTGACAGAGAAGGGCTCCGGGGGGAGCCAGTGTGTCTCCCAGGGCTGAGGAGCAGCAGGGTTTCACTCTAGAACCGGGACCGTCCCGGGAAACCTTTGTTAAAAGTCTTGCCAACAGTGGTCTCATTGGCAGCTATGTGGATCGGGGCTTTCCCTTGACACAGTGCTCGTCACTAGGGATAGTCTTGCCCTCCTGGGCACATTGAAATCTGGAGACTTTTTTTTTATTATCAAGACTGGGGAGAAGGAGGTGTTCCTGGCATCTAGCAGGTGGAGGCCAGGGATATTGCTCAACATCCTACAGTGCACAGGATGGTCTCACACAATAGTGAATAAACAGCCCCAAATGTCAACAGTGCTGATACTGGGGAAACCCTGGTCTAGAATCTAGCAAATCCTTGCAGTTCCAAAGTTTAAGAGGAGTGCTGGGAGGTCGGAGCCCAGATCTGAGTTGGATCATGAGTTCACTCCTGCTGAGGGGGCAAGGACCATGGGAAGGGCAAGGAGCCTGAGCAAAGGGGCCCAGATGCTGCCCCCACCTCTCCAGACCATGATAGACAGGCCCTGGCATAATACACAGACCCCCGCCCCCAGACCCAGAAAATCGAGGCGTTTGGTACTACCGGCTCCCTGCTGCTCCAGCCCCAGGCGGGCTCCTGGCTTTTGGGCCCTCTCCCTGTGAGCCCTGAGACAGACAGATAGATGTGGAGATGAGGCTGTAGCTGGGCTCCTGGGGCCCTCTGGACTCACCTGTCCGGTGGCCTGGCCCGAGCCATCCGAGCACACAAACTGCACAAACTCCTTCAGTGAGTCCTGCCCGTGGTGGTGGTGGTAGCGGATGGTCGGGTGCGTGAAATACGGGCTCGACTGCTGGATGATGGACGTGGAGGGGAAGTGCAGGGCTGACGCTGTGGCCCGGGGGCTCCCTGCATGCACGTGGGCAGGGAAAAAAGGGCGTCAGGGCCAAGGAGGCAGCCAGTGGGAGGGACAGGAGAGGAGGGGAGCTGCAGGTCAGAGGGCTGAGGGTCCTGAGGATCCTGAGCAGGTGAGGCAGCCGCCACAGGCACAAAAGTTAAGGCAGCACAAAAAAAGTCAGTCATCAGTTTTAATGCAATATAAATAAATAATAAAATCGGCAAACTAGGGTCCAAAGGCCAGTCATTTGTTTTTGTAAGTAAAGTTTGATCACAACCAGCGCTGGGAGATTAGGATGAGGCAAATGAGGCAGGGTAGGATCTTGTCTTTATTTTATTTGGCTTTTTTAAAAAGTATTATTATTATTTGAGACAGGGTCTCACTCTGTGCAGTGGCACAAACACGGATCACTGCAAGCGATCCTCCCGGGCTCATGCAGTCCTCCCGCCTCAGCCCCCCAAGTAACCAGCACTACAGGTGCATGCCACCATGCCTGGCAGATTTTTGCATTTTTTTTTCTAGAGATGAGATTTTGCCATATTGCCCTGGCTAATCTCAAACTCCTGGGCTCAAGTGATTCGCCTGCCTTGGCCTACCAACATGTTGGGATTACAGGCATGAGCCACTGTGCTCAGTCTAAATTTTTTTTTTTTTTTTGAGATGGAGTCTTGCTTTGTCATCCAGGCTGGAGTGCAGTGGCGTGGTCTCGGCTCACTGCAAGCACCTGCCACTATGCCCTGCTAATTTTTTGTATTTTTAGTAGAAACGGGGTTTCACCGTGTTAGCCAGGATGGTCTCGATCTCTTGACCTCATGATCCGCCCACCTCGGCCTCCCAAAATGCTGGGATTATAGGCGTGAGCCACCGCACCCGGCCAAGATTTTTCAAATAGAAACGGGATCTCGCCCTGTCATCCAGGCTGGAGTGCAGTGGCGTGATCACAGCTTACTGCAGCCTCGAACTCCTGGCCTCAAGCAGTCTTCCTGCCTTGGCCTCCCAAAGCATAGGGATTACAAGCATAAGCCACTGTGCCCAGCCTCAACATTTTAAATCATTTTAAACAAAGACATGGCTGAGTGCTGTGGCTCATACCTGTAATCCCAGTGCTTTGGGAGGCCAAGGTGGGAGGATCACTTGATCCAGGAGTTGGAGGTCAGCCTGAGAAATATAGCAAGACCCCGTCTCTACAACAAACATTTAAAAATTAGCCAGGGTGGCACACAGGAGGGATCACTTGAGTCTGGGAGTTCAAGGCTTCAGTGAGCTATAATCGTACCACTGCATTCAGCCTGAGTAATAGAGCAGGAAACTGTCTTAAACAAAACAAAACAAAACAAAAACAACAACAAAAAAACACCTAGTATGTGCTCATCATACCCTTTTTTCTGCAAAGTTTGGATTTTAAAAACATGTTCCATTAAAATATTATTTATCTTGATGACTGAGTTGATACTTGCTGACACTCTGCACCTAAGGTGAGTGCCTCACTAGTCCTGCCTAATTCAGGCCCTGGGCGGGAGACTGGGTGGTGGACAAGAGGAGGCAGAGGGTTCCCTGGGGCTCTGGATGAAGACAAAGCCAGCGTCTGCTCAGGATGGCCATCTGACATATGCACACACATCTCCTGAGTGCGAGCTGGTGTGCACCCAGCCACCGCCACCTAGGCGGTGTTCTCATGTGCTCAGCCCCATCACTCTCACACACGTGTCCTCACATACGCGTTCTTGCACACACAATTGCCAACCCAGACCAGGCCCCAGCTCTTCCCCCTCCCGTCTGTTTCCAATCAGCTTGCTCTTGCTCTCGGTTTCATTAGGGGGCTGAGGAAACTTGGCTTCTCTCTGGAGTTCATAAAAGCTGAGTTGGAGCCGGAGGAGCCAGGCCTGCGCCCTCCTGCTGCCTGTGCAGAGGGCCTGGGCTCCCCGCCCCCACCTTGCGGCCACCACACCCTGCCCCAGCACCGGTTGCCTCTGGGCTCCCAGCCAGGAGGCCCCAAGGAGGAAGCCAGGAGATAAACCTCCTCGTTTTCTGTGTCCTACATACAAGCCCAGGAGATGGCAGGCGGACACAGGGCCATGTCCAGAAAAAGTCCAGGCCTCTTGCTGCCAGGTGGGTGCCCAGAGAGGGAAGAAGAAAGGGAAGGAGTGACAGGGCTGAGGTCTCAGCTCCCACAGCCTCCTGCCTGATCCTATCTCCTCAGGGCGACCTAGGTGTTCTCATTCTGAGCACCTTCTCAGCTGGGACACTGAAGTCAGACCGCAGCCGCACGGCAGTGGGCAGTTCCTTTTCCTGGAGAGCAGCCCAGGTACCACCTGCTCCCTAAACCCAGCCCTTCCTTTCTAGAAAGTGGCAGGGAGGCCCAGACAAGGGAGCTACTTGCCGCAGGAGCCTGGGCTCCTTAGGAGTACTCTTCTCCATCCAGGCCCCACACCAACCGGGGCTCACGCTGGGAAATAACCAGAGCCCGGGCTTAGCCAGGAGCTAAGAGAGAGGAGCCAGCAGGAGGGCAGGGGAGAAGGCTGTGACTTCCCGCCCATAGTTGGCAGGACAAAAGGAGAACTGGGCCAGAGTTGGGGAGGCCTCGGGACAGGCTTGTGTTGTATGTAGCACCCACGCACGCGAGGAATGAGAAGAAGTGGGAGGTTGCTCAGGAGCCAGGTGGACAGCCCAGGGGCCCAGCCTGGTCCTCCATGGGGTGCCACGTGAAGTAGGGGCCGGTTCCCATGCCCACCACATGGTGCTGCCGCACCACATCCTACTCGGAGAGCTTGGGGCTGTCACTCGGGGTCAGCCCTGGCCCCTTCACCTGGCCAGCTGCCCCTAGACACTCAGCCACCTCCCCAACTGCCCCCCTCCGGGGCCCCCCATTTCTCACCTGGTCTGACTCCAGCAAGCACAGGCAGCGGGTGGTGGGTGAAAGCCATGCGCGGGGAGCTGCCCTGAGAGGAGAGGGCACTGCAGAAGTCCAGCTTTCCTGACTTCTTTAGAGAAGCCGGGCCTGGGGGGAGGAAGCAGCAACACAGGGCAGATTTAGCTGGGCTGGGGTGGGCGCAGGGAAGGCGGGAAGCCAGCAGCTTGCTCCTTCTTTCCTCAGCCCCTCCCCACCGCCCCTTCCTCTACTGTGCTCCCTCCTGCTGCTCCTTGCCCAGTCCCAGGCCTTGTTCTGGGCCTGGTTCCGAGGCCCTGTGTGTAGGCCAGCCAAGGGGTGCTTCTGACCAGAGAGGAAAACGAGGCCCCTGAGTAATGTGGGGTGGTGTGTGCCAGGCAGGGGGTGAGCAAGGGGCCCAGCCTGTGCCCTGGCAAGCAGGTAATGAAGTGAAAGGGTGGGATGCAGGACCGACATTGGGAAAGGAGTGCAGGAGGAACCCCAGGGCGCCAGCTTGAGAGCCGGGAAGGGGTAAGTTTGGGAGAGACAGGCTGGGGTCTATGCCATGGTGCCCTGGGCAATGGGAGATTCTGGTGGGAAGAAGCCAGGGCCCCGTTTAGGGAAGGGAACACACAGCCATGAGCCCTCAGGAGGGACACAATGCTCAACGAGACAGCAGGGACAGGGGCCAGAGGACCTGGAGAGTCCTCGGGCTGCTCAGGCCTAGCCGGGCTGTGGAGGCAGAGCCAGAGGGGAGAGGACTCCCCCAGCCAGGGGACCCAGAAACTCAGCTACCACAAGATGGGTAATTTCAGGGCTCTGCCCTTCTTCTGGTGCCAGAGGTGTGGGTGGCATTCAGCATGAAACAAGGGCACAGAGAACACCTTGTTTGAAGTCTGTCTTTAGAAATTCATCTCTGCCCAGTGGCCACAGCATCCAAATGACAAAGCAGGGTCCCCAGGGGGCCAGGTTCTTCCATCTTGGGCTGAGCTTTAAGGTTGTACCCAGGTTGGGGGGGATACAGTAGAGTTGGGGCAGATCTCTAGAGCTACCATCCTTGGGGGACAAATCGAGTCAGTTTGAGTGAGGGGTGGAGGGGCTGCAGAACAGAGAAATAAAGAGCCATCTTAACTGCAGAGGGAAGGGACGGGGGAAGGGCGAACTCCCAGCCGCCAGCAGAGGTGTTATCTGGCAGCAGCTGTGTGCCACCTGATAGCTGGCACGTGGGGAGGGGGAAGCATCCTACCAGCTGTGCACAGCTGTCCCCACGGCCGCACAGTGCCTCCCCAGCTGTTCACTGTCCTGCAGCTGGGCTGCTTAATTGGCGATTTGTCACAGCCCAGGGAAACAACACACAGCGGGGTGAGGGGGAAAGGGAGCTGGGGGTGCTGCAGAAGGATGTTGGGGGGCCGTGCGTGGCAGGACTGCCAGAAGGAGCAGAAATGCAGAAATGGCAGGCACAAAAGCAAACAGCCAAGGAGAGAGCAGGAGCCAGGAAGAGGGGGGCTCCTCAGGAACTAGGTCTGGGCAGAGGAGCCCAGGAGCCCTTGCCTCGGGAGCCAGCTGCAGACACAGCTCTCTATGCACCCCAGGGGCAGTCCTTGCAGAAGGGATCACCTACTGAAGCCCTGGCCAGGGACCCAGGATGTAGCCCAAGAGTCTCCCGGGCCTTCTCAACTCCTCTCCGCCTCTCAAGGCTCCCCTAGGGAAGCATGTGGCCCATGCTGGCCCAAGTCCCTGCCTGCCACGAGGAGACCCTGGGAGGGACCCCAGAGTCACACAAGGAAGCCTTCTCACAGAGGCCAGCCTCTGCTGGCCGTCTAGAGGATCTCCAGCCTACTCCCTCAGCCTGAGGCCTGGAGGCAAGCCCTCCTTTTCTCCTCCCAGGAGGAAGAGAAGCTGCTGGAACTTGCATTTGTTCTGGGGCAGCAGAAAAGCAGGAGTGCCTCCCAGCCCCATCCCGCTCCACCCCAGCCTCTGCCTGCCCACTTGGCCCTTCCCAGTAGGGGCATATCTGGAAACCATCACATCAAAGAAACCATCACACAAAGGTCAGAACCTCATCTTCTGGAGGAGGAGAATGATGCTCAGGGCCCAGGCCTGTCCAGAGCAGACATGCCCTGTGTACAACCCACACGCATGAGTCTGCACTCCCAGGCCCTGTCACACCCACAGTGAGGATAAACACAGGCTGTACCACTGGCACATCAGCGGGGGGCTCCTGCAGCCAGCCTCCTCACACACGTGTGCTCATGCACATGTACACACACACGCACGTGTTACATGCTCTCTTCCAGAGTCCTCTCCAGGTCTGTCTGCACCCTCAGTCAAGAACAGAGGTGAAGGGGGGTGGGTTCAACAGGAAGAGGAGTCCTAGAGGGGACTGGGAATGTCTGAGCTGGCTGCTTCTGTACTCTCTCCCCTTCGCTAGCTTCCCTGCCTGGCCTCAAAAGGACTCTGCTCATTCTTCACTAGACTCTGAGCCTCTCTCTGTAAAGCTGGGCCCTTGAGACCAGTGGTTCTCATCCTGGGAGGACTCTGTCCCACAAGGGGACGTTTGACAATGTCTGGAGGCATTTTTGGTCATCAAAACTGGGGGTGGTTTTGTTGCTGGCATCTTGTAGGTGGAGGCCAGGGATGCTGCTAAACATCCTGCCATGCACAGAACAATCCCCCTACACAGAATGATGAGCCCCCAGATGTCATGAGTGCCCAGGGTGTCAAACTGCTTTAAACCATGAGGCCACAGGGTGGGGCAACCTCTCTAGAGAAATAGCAGGAGGGGCTGCGGCCATCCCACTGTGGGGTACCAGAGGCTTAGCAGTCCCTCTGCTTCCCACCGCCATACCACGGGCTCTACTGCTGACTCTGACAGCATCCCTCCTCGCCTCCACTCCCTTCTTTCAGCCTGCTCTGCCCTCCCTGGAAGATCAGGAGGCAAGAAAACAGATGGGTAATGCCCCCCGACAGGGGGACAACTGGTGGGAGGCTCACCAGGTAAACTGAGAGGGGGATAAAAAGGCTCTGGGCTTCCCTTGCTCTGCTCAGGATCCCCCGCACCCATACCTGCATCCACATCGTTGGGCCACCCGCTAGACTGGCTGCTGCCAGCTGCTGGGGAACGGCCTGTCCCGGGATAGAACACGTCGTCGACTGGGCTCTCCATCTCGCTGTCATCGATGGACTTGGGGCGCTTGGTGGTGCTGGGGAAGGAAGACAGGGTCAGATGGGCCAAGGATGGGCCGAGGCTCCAGGGAGTGACCAATTGTCCAGGCTAAAGAACTGCGCATGGATGGCCCTCTACGTGGGAAGTGGTGCCGGCTGACAGCAGCATTTCTGGGCACTCACTGCGTGCCCAACCCCAAGATCAGCCCTAGGGCCCCTCAAGCCATCAGCTCCAACCTGCTCCTCTTCCTCAAGCCCCTTCCTGATCTGTGATGCCATGGTCCTCCAAGCTGCCCACATCAGAGAAGTTGGCAAAACCCTCAGCTGCCTCCTGTATCCCACCTATGATTTCCCAGCAGCCCGCAGGGCTAGGGTGAGGTGAATGAGGTACTCGCAGGGACAAAAATGCCATAAACTCAGTTATCAATATAAATAATATTTTAGTCCCTTTTTTTTTTTTTTTTTTTGAGATGCAGTCTCGCTCTGTCACTCAGAGTGGAGCACAGTGGCGTGATCTCTGCAAGCTCACTGCAAGCTCCGCCTCCCGGGTTCACAACATTCTCCTGCCTCAGCCTCCCCAATAGCTGGGACTACAGGTGCCCGCCACCATGCCCGGCTAATTTTTTGTATTTTTTAGTAGAGAAGGGGTTTCACCGTGTTAGCCAGGATGGCCTCGATCTCCTGACCTTGTGATCCGCCCAACTCGGCCTCCCAAAGTGCTGGGATTACAGGTGCGAGCCACTGTGCCTGGCCTAGTCCCATATTTTTAAAAAATCAAAATGAATGCCAAAAATCTCACAATTAATATAAACACCCATGTTTAAAAAAAAAAAAAAAGCAGGGTGGACCATGCCCAGCACAACTTGCCCTGGTCAGAACCCACATCCCTGCTTCGCAAGCAGCTCCCTCCCTCTCCATGCCACCCCACCCTCCAGACCCTCCCCCACTCCAGCCTTTCCAATGGCCTCCTAACTGGCTATCAGTCCCGCCCACACACACTGCTGCTGGAGAGAGCTTTCTGGAACACATACCCTCAGCATCCCCTGCTTAAAACCCCTCAGGGGTCCCCACTACCCAGCGATGAAGTCTAAATGTCTTCTTCTGGCCTCCAAAGCCCTCTGTGGGGTGGTCCCACCAGCCTATGTGGGCTGAACTGGGATAGAGGCTACCCTCTTCTCTGGAACATTTTCCCCAGACCTCCCAACCTCCTCTGTGTCTGGGCTCAAATGTCACCTTCCCAAGACAGAGACCTTCTTGGACTCCCATTTCCAGGCAGAGCTATATCTTGTGTGAGTTTGTGTCCCCAGGGCTGCGTGCTTCATGACAGCACAAAGCAGGAGCTCAGGGGGTGACTGCGCATGGTGGACTCTAAAGTGTTAGAGCCAGTGCCCTCAATGAGAGGTGACATTCTGAAGCACCGCAGCCTCGGTGACATAGCTGACTACAGCCACTGGGAGGGCCCTGGCCCTGGGGGAAGTGGAGAGAAGATGGAAAGGCAGGACCACTGGGCTCACCTGGTGGAAGGAGGGGAGGTGATGGACCGCCGCCCCAGGGTCACCTGGTTGATGTTGTAGTAGCTGGGACTCTCCAGGTCCGCCAGCGAGAAGTTGGGCCCTGATGCTGTTGCAACAGGAGCTAGGAAGAATGAGAGGGTGATGAGGTTTGGAGATGCGGGGAGGCCTGATGGGGTCTGTTTTGTTGTCATGAACGGCTTCCCAGAAGCCCAGAGTGGGGCCAGGAGATGGGAGAAAGTGGGCCATCTGGGCTGCTAAGGAACCTCCTCCCAGCTAGGGGGTCACAGGAGAAGAGCCTTTGGTTGTGACTTTTTCTTTTTCCTTCAAAGCAATGGAGACTAGAGACAGGCCTCTCTGGAAGACTCTGTTGTACCCAGCCCAGCACCAGTGGGGCCGAAAGTGTCCCAGAAAGCATCTGTCCCCATCCACCTGCCCTAAGACCCCATTAGGAGGACATCCCATGAGGTCCTACCTCCTCATTTTCAATCCCCATCCCTGGCCTGGAAGGAAGGACTCACTTACTCTGTGATACTCTCACCAGCTCCGTCACATTCCAGACCCCGGAAGTCACAAAACAGTCCTGGAAACTTAAGTGCCCTGAAGAGGGGAAAGGATGAGTGAGTCAAGACAAGGCCAGAAGGGGGCTGCCTGGCTATTTCCAAAGATCTTCCCCACTGTTGACTGTCCCTCCCAAGTCCCGTTTCCAGCTCCAGGCTGGCCTTCAGGTCTACACTGAGATGCTCCAGGTGTGCCCCCATCCCCTCAGGCAGGCTAAGCTCAGTCAAGGGACAGCTGAATGAAGGGGAAGAAGTGAGGGTGGCCAGGGCAGCCAGGGTAGGGGAAGGAAGTGGAGGGGCATGAAGGACAACGCAGCTGGGCAGGTTGGGGGCACTGACCGTTGGGCAGTGGTTTGATGTCCGCATCTCCTTGCTGGTTTGAACTATCTGATTGTCCGGATTCTGCAGGAGACACAAAGGGGAGGATGTGTCAGGAGCAAAGTTCTCCATAAGCACCAGCCAAGCACTGGCCCCTCCAGCCTGGTGCAAGAGCAGGGAGGGCCCAGCCCGGCCACAGAAACCTTCACCCCACTCTCTCCCTAAACCAGCCCCAGGAGGCTCAGGGAGACCCAAAGCAGGGAAGGAAAGATAGGCCCAATGCAGGTTTCTCAGCCTCAGCACTGATGACATTTGGGCTGGATTGCTCTCTGTGGTGGGGAACACCCTGTACACTGTAGGGTATCTGAGCAGCATCCCTGGCCTCCACCCACTAGATGACAGTAGCACCCCAGTTGTGACAACCCAAACTGTCCCGAGACATTGTCCACTGTGCCCTTAAGGGCAAAGCCACCCTCAGGTAAGAAGCACCGGCCAAGAGTCCGGAGCAAGGAGGGTCCCAAGAGAGAAGTCAGAGACTCTCTCTCTCCACAGTGGGGACAGACCCAAGGGTCCCCCATCCCCCACCCAGCTTCAGCTCCCAGAGGAGCATCCCCTTCCCTAACTTGGTTAATTGAAGCCATTCCTGTCTGCCTGCGCCTCCCCCACCTCACCTTTATGCTCACAGGCAGTGCCTGGCAACCCAGAGGGGGGAGGTTTGCCTTGACGCTGTCGCCCGCTCTGTGCCAGCCTGTCTGGGCTGTCTCATGCCCCGGTGCCACAGCTGCTCAGAGGGAGCCCCGAGACAAGGGCTCATTGTGCAGTGGGAGCTCACAGAGGACTGGGGGCAGGGTGGAGTGTGTGTGTGAATATTTTGCTGAGCTTGGGAAAGCCCCCCACCCCCGTCCCCCTGGTCCTCAAAGCTTTGTGTGCCAGGGGCGCAACGGGGACCTCCAGAATGCCTGCCTGGGCATGACAGCTGGCGAGAGGGTGGTGGAGGGGGGCCAGGCAGGTTGTGGGGCAGGAGGAAGCCAGGCATTTGGTGAAGAATCAGCTGCTCACAGGGGGACCACATGGGGGTGACATCTGAAAACCTTGCCTTGGTATTGGCCAGGACTTTGCCCAACTTTAAAGAGCATTCCTGCCTCCTGGGTCTTGCCACCACCCTGATTCAACCTGCTTGCCCCCACCATAAAGGAGGTTCCCAAAAGGTGACATCACCCCTAGGGTTGGGGTGAGGGACCCAATCAGTCACTCAGGAGGCAAGGAACAGAGCTGGGTGCTAGGGCTGGACGACAGGATGCAGCCCACCTGGGTGGCACCCCTGCTTGCAGCATGAGGGCCCCACCATGTCTGGGACTGAAAGCACTGGCACGCTCCAGGCTACCTTCCTTAATGTAATGGGTGAAAAAGGGTGACTGTTTCAGGCCCCACTCCCCCTCCACCCCATCCCCACTTAACTTTGATTTTTTAATTCCAAAAAATAAATCCTATTGTAGCGAGTCAAGAAAATGTAGTTCTTTTTAATACGGAAAGTGCTAACAAGTGCTTTCAATATGGAACGATACACTTCACCACCTCTGGTTTGGGGTATATCCTTCCATACCTCCCCTTTCACTCAGCCCTGATGATATGTTTGACAAAAAGAGGTTCCCACCCTGAGTCATCTCTTTGTTAGTGGCACTCTCTGCTCTGGAGGAAGCCCACCCGTGTTCCCTGAGAGGGCAACCTCTCTGTGCCATAGCATGGTGTGAATGTGAACTTTCTTGACACTACCTCACTCTCTCACCTTGGCCCATTGCTGGGTTTCTGGGTCTGATTTGAGCCCCAGCCAGGCTGGCAATGGCAGCCAAGGGGTCTAGGGAGCAGGCAGCCCGCCCCAGGGCCCCCTCAGACCCCAGTCCTGTGGCTGCTCTAAATCATGGCTTGGGAAGGGCACAGCCTCACAATACATGTACAGAGGTCAGCGAGGGGCACATGGTCCCCACTCTACTGCCCAGGGGTCTCTCTGCTATGAACCCCACCCATCCTAGGGACAACTCGGTCCCCAACAAGCCCTCCAGAGATGGATCAGTAGAGTCAGGGGAAGAAGGAGGAAGCCTCAGAGTCCACCCCATGGGAGCGGTCCCAACCCACTGCGAAAGGCCAAGTGGAGATGGTAAGCCATGTGCCTGTGCACACGCATGTATGGATGCACACGCGTGTACTCAGCCCAGGGACACCCGAGAGGGAACCCGACAAAGAGATGGAGGTGGGCCAGCGACTGAGGTAGAGGCAAATGGGGCTCCAGGAGAGCGCGACAGACAGGAAATCCTTCTAAATCAGGACACAGCCCCAAAATGTTATTGCTGTTATTACTATTAGCTCTGTGTAAAGGAACAAGAGGGAGCGAGGATCCGGTGCGAGCGAGGCCCCTGCCACGCGCCTCCGGGCGCTGCTCCGGGCGCTGCTGGCAGCCATTTTAGACCTTGGCAGCCATCTTACGGCTGGCGGCCCCAGCCGGAGGCCCACAATGCCGCCACCGCCGGCCCCTGACATGCTCAGCTCAGCTCCAGGACAAAAGGCAGAGACATGGGAAATCTGGACCCAGGCTCAGAGGCACGGGAGCCAGGCCTGCGGCCGGGGCAGCTGCAGCCAGGGCCCCACTGATCTGCTCAAGTAGTGTTCCCCTTCTCCCCTCTGGCCAGCACAGTGAAAGGAGCAGGGAAGGCTGAGGCCAGGAGCGGGGGACACCGCAGCTCTACTCAAAGGTGGCTGAAGTCCTCACAGGGCATCTCAAGGCCCAGGGCCTTAACTAGCTCAAGAGTAGACCCCTGTCCCGAGAGAGCAGCAGGTATGTGGTAGACCCCTGTCCCGAGAGGGCAGCAGGTACCTCGGGACACCAGGGATGTGACAGGGGAAGGTCTCTGAGCACCCTGTCAGCTCGGGGATGTGCCTTGGATGGATGGAGGAAGGAGGCTGGCAAGAACCAGCAAGTGGCTGCAGGGCCCAGAGAGGCCACTAGGTCCATGGTGGAAGTGCTCCTGGGGAGGCAAAGAGATGTCCTGCCCACCAGAAGCGCAATGTGGGCCAGTTTTCTTACCTGGTGGGCTCTTTGGGGAGCCTTGCCTTGAGGTCTGGGCCTGCTCTGGACAGCCCCCCGGGCAACAGGAGCTGCAGAGCATCTCCATGTCATGACTGCCTTGCCTGTCTGGGCTCCCCGGGGGAAGGGATAACCCCGGGATTTGGGACAGAGAGGAGGAAGGCCCCTTTAGGATGCCCCTCCCCAGGCCCTGCCTCGTGGCTGCTCTGCTTTTATCTGGCAGAATGGGGCTTATCACAGCCACCAGCTGAACAAATACACAAATCCACGGTTAGTGAGGAAAAACACTCTGCCTGAACTCTTTATCTCCTGTTCACAGGCCCCGCACACTGCCCACTGCCAACAACACAGGAGGGGACCTGACTGCAGCATGGCAGGGCTCTGTTCTCCACTATGAAGGTGGAGGGCGGCCTCCCGGACTCTGGCCGGGCCTCCCACTCAGTCTCCACGCTCCGTCTCTCGGCCACCCCCCTTCTTCCCTCCTCGCCCCTGAGCCCGGGGTGGCTCTCCCCTGGCAGTCCCTGCCAGGCAGGCGTGCATGAGTGAGCCCCTGCCCACAAGGGAGCCCCCTCCAGAGTCTGCTCTCTCACTGGGGACAATGGGCCAGCTGGTGGCCTATGGGCCAGTGGAGGGGCAGGGACAGCGTTGGCTGGCACAACGCAGGCAGGTGCCGGGCTCCATCTTTTATCTTTTATCCTCTGTCATCGGCCCACGCCCCCGAGGGCTGTGTCTCTGATTCCCCAGTCTTCTGGGGCCATGTCCCCTGGAAGCCTTTCTGGCCTCAGGCTTCTCTCCAGCCTGCTTGCCAGCCAGTGAGGACATTAACTGCATACCTTTAAGTTCAGGGTCACCCAACCACCCTCCCAATCACTTCAGGGACTGTGGCTCCCGGTGCTTCCTGGAGAGACTGGTTGGAGATGGGATAGAGTGGGTGCTGCTGCTTCCCCTCGCCCCACACCAACACAGAGTTTCCCTCCATGCTGGTGCTGGGAGCTGGAGAGATCTTTCTGTGCTCTCAGCTGCTTCCCACTCGGCCCATCAAATGCAGCTGCCTAAAACCTGAGCCCAGCCGCTGTGTCCGACAGGTGCCTTGGCCAAGCTAGCATTCGAGGTCCCTGGTTTCTGGGCCAGGCTAGGGGAGGGAGAGTATCTCAGAGCCCACAGCTCATTCTCGATGCTGTTTGGGGGTGTCAGGCTGACTCATGTCACACAAAGACACAACTGTGCTGGTTGTCCTTCTCTAGGGACCTGGGCTACTCATGAGATCCATGTCTCTGAGGCAGAGGCTTCCCCTGCCCATGGTTCTGGCCACTTTGCAGACATCTGGAAGGGAGGGCTATGAAGGAACAGGCGATAAGACTGGACTCTGTCTCTGCATAGGCCCAAGTGGGCTCTGCTGAACAAGCCTTCAAAACGGGATTTGGCTCCAGGTTCTGGGGCCACTCTGTATTCATCTGCACACCACGGGTCATTCCCCAGCATCAACAGCTTGTGAGCTGGAGGCTTCTGGCAGTGCCCAGCCCAGAGCCAGGCTCAGCCAAGTGGCCACTCTGGGCCCCTCTCTTCCTTGGGGGCCCCTCAGTATCCCCTGGAACAGCCACAAAGTTCCCCTGCAAAATTTCCCTTCTCACACCCACACCAGCTCCCCTTCTTAGCCCCTGGAACAAATCCCCACCTTACTTCTTTTATTCAGCTCTTTGCCTTTCCCCTTGGATCCCCATTTGTGATCTTACTTCCCTGTCTCCCTTGGCTCCCCTCCCTCTGTCCTTCCTTTGCCTTCCCCTCACCTCTTCAGCACCTCCCTCTCTTCCTTCTGCTGTTTGCAGGCACGTGTGCTTGCGCCTGTTTCCAAGAGGACTCTGCCTCTTCAGTAGGGCTCTGGAGGGGAAGCTCCAGCAGCCAGGAGGAGCCTAGGGTTGCACATAAACTCCAACTGACAGCACTTTTTTTTTTTTTTTTGAGACGGAATCTCACTCTGTTGCCCAGGCTGGAGTGCAGTGGTGCGGTCTCAGCGCCTCCTGAGTACTGGGACTACAGGCACCCGCCACCAGGCCTGGCTAATTTTTTGTATTTTTAGAAGAGACGAGGTTTCACTGTGTTAGCCAGGATGGTCTCGATCTCCTGACCTCGTGATCCGCCCGTCTCAGCCTCCCAAAGTGCTGGGATTACAGGTGTGAGCCACCGCGCCCGGCTGCATGATTTTAGTATAATATTTTTCCAGCTACAGATGGGGAGATAGTTATGGTTCCCACTAGGGTGAGGGAGGAATTCCTGCTGGCTACAGCCAACACTGGCCTCAGCTCCCACTCGAAACAAACTTGTGCTGTGAAAGGAGCCATGTATAATTTGCTGGCCAATTGCCCCCACGGACTTTGGCCTAACAAATTTTATGGAGGCTGAGGGGCGTGCACAGATTTGGCCTTAGCTGAACCCACATATGCATACCCAGGCATGTGCATACACTTGGATGCATGCACTCATATTCTCAGACACACACACACACACACACGGAGGTGCCACTAGCCACTTCTCGCTGTCAAGAAAGGGTGGAGTGAGATGGTACATCTGGAGCCACCAGAGAGGAACCCCCTTCAACTCTGCAGGAACTGCTAGCCTTTGGAAATGGGGAGAACAGCCCTTGGGGCGTGCCTGCCCATCCCCTGGCCCTCCCAGGCCTGACGTTCCAGAAGCAAGTGGGGGTACATTCTGTTCTGGGGGTGCCTCTGGACAGCTGCAACACCCCATCCTCTGAAGGGCTGATGCGATTCTGGGGCCAATCACTGGTCCTCCCAGCACTGCACCCGCCTCCTACTTCTCTCCCCCTTCCTCTGAGATTCCGGAGCATCCAGGGCACGGGAAACCCAATCTCAAGGGGAGCCAGAGGCTCCGCCTGTAGCAATCAGAGCTGGAGAATGTAACTATTGTGCCTCCTGAAACCCAAGTCTGAGAATGTGAGACACCCTGAGGAGGGGAATGGTGGACAGATGGGGGGCTAAGGGGATGGGTCACAGAGGGGTTCTCCCCGTCTCAGCAAACAGGAGACTCAGGGGACCGAGGAAGTCCTTGAGAATGCAGGGCAGCCAGAGGGCAGACGGAGGGGGTGAGGCTTGGCCAGGGCCTGGGCCCATGGGGCTTCTAGGGTCTTCCTCTCCTCTCCATTCCTCACCTGCCCCACCAGCCACCATGCATGTGCACACACACATGTGCACAGACACACACACACACACACACATCCTGGAGTCATCCTGAGGTGGCAGGTTTTTTCCTCCTCTGTCATCCCTAGAGTCTCACATGGTTTAAAGCAGGCGCCCCAACAAGAAGCATAGCCCTCAAGCTGTGGGTGGGGGCAGGGATAAGGACAGGGGAACATGTCACCCCATTATTGTCCTCTCCCCTTTCCTCATTCCCTCCCTGCTCATAGGTCCAAAGAGGCTTCCGCCTTTGACTTGACTGACCTGCTGGAGATGGGGGAAGAGGACATGGCAGAGGGGATAAGTGACAGGAAAAAGGAAGAAACCAAGTCACACCCACATGTGGTCTAGGCCTGCTCTGGCTGCCCCTAGGGCCTAGGCTCAAGGAAAGCCATTGTGGGGGCGGGGGCGGTAGGGAAGGCACAGGAACCTGGCAGATGAAGGGCCAGCATCTGGATGGGACATTCCCCTCTCCATCTCCTGACCCCAGGAAGAACTACTTTCTCCATTCCAATGCACCCCGGCCTCTACGGGTGCCCCTGGAGCAAGGGCCAGGCCTGGCTACTGCAGGACTCACTGCTCGGCAGTGAGGCTTCGGGAAGCGAGGAGAAAGCAAGTCCGTCAGCTTATCTTATACCCAGGAGACCAGCAGAGCAGTCTCACGCTTCATCTGAAAGCCTCAGGTCCCTCACGGTGTCGAGGTGAAGAAGGCCTGTCTCCTACAGTCCTTGGTTGCCTCCACTCCCCATGTGGAGACGGACTCCTAGCCAGAAGCCTTACAGCCACACAGCCCATCACTGCCTCCCTCATAAAATGAGAAAGGTGTTCCTAAGCTCAAAATTTTCCTCCAAGAAAACAATAGAACTCCCACCTCCCTCCCATCCCCAGCAAGTGGCCCCGGAGCCCTCCAGGGAGTTTTTTGGTGTGAGCTGCTCAGCGTTCTCTGCCCGGCTCCGGTTCATTAGCAGCTGTCCCCAGCCCAGGGAGAACTCCTGGAGATGGGCCCAGGCATGGAACAGTGGGAGAAGCCAGGAGGCACTGGAGAGCTGAATGCTCAGTTGCTCTTCCCCAAGGGATGACAGGCAGTGGCCAGCAAAGGAGAGAGAGAAGGGATATGCCCCTGGTGCAGAGCAGAGCACCCGGCAGGTGGACAAAGGCCCACCTGCCAATGGCCACTCCAGGACCAGCCCAACAAGTTAATAAATGAGACCCCCAGTCACAGCAGCAATGAGACATGTGAGGCAGCCTGCAGGCTCCCCCTAGGTCTGCCTATGGCAAGGTGACCCAGCACCAAACCTGGCACCTCAGACACCTGACTATGGAGGGAACAAGTGGACCCAGGGCATGGTGGCAACACTGTCTGGGGTGTTTCAGAGATACCTGGGGCAGGAATTCCCATCAGAGCAGAAGAGATTGAAGATGACAGGCAAAGAACAGGCAAAGAAGAAGGCAAAGAAAAACATCTTGGGGAGATGGAGAGAGGCAGGAGCCATTGGCCTGGGTCTGCTTCATCTGTCCTCTGAGCCTGCCCTTGGCCTACCCAGGGAGGTGCCCTTGGTCTGGAGCCTGTGTCCACTGAGGGGGTACAACACGGTGCTCTACCACTTTGGATACCCTGTCCTCGGTAAGTTGGCCTTGCCCCAGCAAAGAGGGGCCAAAGGGGGCAGGCTGAAGTGGAGGGTAGGAGGAGGAAGGAGGTGGGTGGCCAGCAACGGCATACCAGGGCTCCCCCAAATTCACATCCATGCTCCAGAACCTACCAGCCCGTAACTTTGGCCAAGTTATGAACTGTTTCCTCATCTGTAAAAGGGAGATAACATCTACTATTTGCATTCCTGGGTGAGGAATAAATGAGAAAATATGTATAATAAGGTGCTTAGCTCAGGGCCTGGCTCATAGTTGGGGCTACGTAAACGTCGTCTGTCCTTCCACCTGGATTACTATTTCCCTTTATCTCCATTTGCTGAACGCTTATTCCTCCTTCTCAACTCTATTCAAATGCCACCTCCCACCCTCGGGGGGAAACTGTGGCTGACCCTCAGCTCCCCTCCCCAGGAGCTCATGCTCTTGAGTACATGGTGAGTGTGT